AAAGGAGCCCCATTGTGTATGGGGCTCCTTTCGGTGCTCCTTTGTGCCTTGTGAACCCTGCCCTGCTATTCTCAAAGGTCATCCAGAAAACCCAAAGGCAAGGCCCCGCATCAGCGACACGGGTCGAGCACGTCGGAACGTGGCCAGCTCCCCAGTCGCCGGCCGCTGGGGGCACTTCCAAAAGCCCCACACCCCCGCCAGGCCGCGCAGCCCGCCCCACCTGGTACTGGTTAATGGTGATGCCGGTCACATGGGCGCCGCTGACGGCGGCGATGGTGCGCATGGGGCCGCCGACGCCGCAGCCGACGTCGAGGCACTTCATGCCGGGCTTGAGGCCGAGGGTCGCCGCGACGCGCGCCTCGTGCGCCGCCTCGCTGACGGGCCAGCTCTTCCCGTTGAGCTTAGGGGAGAAGTGGAACGACTGCCCCCAGCCCCACTCGTAGATGTCGGTGACGAGGCTGTAAAACACGTCGACCAGCTGCGTCGTCTTGCTGCGGTCCTTGATGCCGGCGCCGGCCTCCTTGCCATAGCTGGCCTCGTAGTTGTCCCACTCCTTCTTGACCTCACCGCGCTCGATCGAGCCGCCAGACAGTTCAAAAACGGTGGGCTTCTTCTTGTAGTCGCCGCTGCCGCTCCAAGCACGCCAAACCAGGGCCCCGCCAAGCACGATCGTCGCACCGGCCACCGCTAGAGTCGTCTTGTCCTCGCTTGACACCCTGTCAACGAGGTCTTGAAGCCTCTGGCTGATCGCGGCGGTGTCAGGCAGCGGCATGGCTGCTTGCTGTGATCACGGAGTTGAAATAGGCGCTGCCACACAGTGGCGGTCGAAAGGCGCAACTGTGATGAAACAAATCACCACATATCTCACATCAAATCCAATTGAAAGCGGTTCCACAGCACAGCGAGCACCAGCTGGCAGCGGGACACGAAGCGCGCAGGTAACCAGGTGCTGTCATTCGTAATGCAACCGCTTTACGACCCACGCCCTCGCGGTTATATCGTGAGGAAATCGATGGATGCAATGTATAGCGTTTTCCCCAAGCAGATCTCACATAGACACAGATCTGCTGGATCGTGCTAGCTGTCAATCAAGCAACCGCAGAAGCAGAAAACGACGCAATCCAGATTTGCAGATTGGGTAGCTACTGCAGGCGGTGCTCCAGCCGGCGACAGCAAAGGGCAGCAGCACAGGCGCAGCGGCGGCGTCGCGGTCGCGCAGCAGCGCGCCGAGTGTGACGCGCCACCCTCACGAACGACGGCGCACCCTTGCACGTGCGGCTAGGGCCCAAAGCGGCAGCTCGGCGCGTCTCTGTGCAGAGTCCTCGCGCCGCGTCTCCGTGCGGCGCCCATATTCCAGCAGGCGCTGCCACGGCAGAGCGGCCCCTTGAACCAGCGACCAGCCAGGCCCCCAAGCCACCGCCGCCGCCCCCGCCC